AGGAAGGAAGGAAGGAAGGAAGGAAGGAAGGAAGGAAGGAAGGAAGGAAGGAAGGAAGGAAGGAAGGAAGGAAAGAAGGAAGGATCCTTAATAGCTTGATACAATTACACAGTAGGCCTCTGACATTCTCTATGCTGGTATAATAACTAAACGGCAAGTGACAGGGCTAGGAGATCCCTGTTGCATGCTTTAATTAAAACTGAAAATTTACAACAAAAATCAACCCTTGGGTAAAGTGCTCTTTGGTTTAAATCTTCTTTGTTACCTCCTGAAATTTTGGTAAGCTTACTTTGTTTTTAAATTAAGCTGGTCCCTCCTTCTTTACTCCATGACAAAAGTCAAATACCAAGAACCAGACATAAGTTTCAGAATGAAAAGAGTTTCATGTGTGTGTGTGTGTGTTTAAGTCCAACCCCTGTATACAAACTGTTTATAAAAAAAAAAAAAAACAGGTGTTTTAACATAATGCTTTATTCCAACTTAATCTCATCCTTGAATGAACTTCCTTCAAGTTTCAACCATTAAAAAAAAAAAAAGCAGTCAATTTCCTGGTGGTTGTAATTTAATTAAGTAACCTTTCACACTGAGCAAAACCCCAAAAGCAAAAGGGTCATTAATCTTTCTAGTGATTAGAGACACCTCTAGAGCTTCAAACATTTACCTCTCCTTCCCCGCAGTAGAAATGCTTTTAGGAGGATCATGGTTCATACCTCACATTCCCTGGAGCCAGAGATGGTATATGTGCAGGGCCCAGATCCATTGACGGATATATCCATGGTCTCAGAGTTTGTAGGCTTGTAGTCCACATAATACTCCTGTAAAGGGGAATTCATTTGTCTTTCAGACTCTCTGGCCTTTTTCCGCCGCCTCTTCATGAGAGAGTGTTGTTGGAGTTGTTTCATGCTGGCTGGATAGCGTTTCCAAGACACATAGATTACCAAGAGGATCATGGCCACTGAGAGAAACAGAGCCACACTCCCTGCGATAATTTTGTGAAATGAAACATGCTCATACTCTTGCTCTGTGCCAGGAATCTGGAACCCTGGGGAAGGGCTTGGTGTTTCCAGGGTGGGTTGGCTGGCATCTGGTTTGAAGATGGTAGGTTTCGGGATAACCAGAGGCTTGTGGGGAGTTTGGGGCATTAGGTGTGACCTCTCTGTATTGACCACCTGGACTTCAGAACAGATGTTGTATGTTTCCACAGCATCGCTAACCTTTTCGCCCTGGATGTGCTTAGGTCCTGCACATATCATAGTGCTTTCCTTATTACCTTTGAAATTCTTAAGCCAATAATATAGAGGACAGATGCTCCGACTGCATTCCCACATATTTCCAGACAAAGTAATGGATATTAATGATATCCACGCATTCACAGTTTCCTGTGAGATGTTGGTAAGCTTGTTGGAATCCAAATTCAATTTCTGCAAATTGGGGAGGCATTTAAATGTGCCCGGCTCAATTCCTTGGATGTCATTCCCTGATAAATCCAAGTTGTGTAAGGAACTCCAAGTCCATGTCAAGCCTTGGCTAATTGAGCGAATCCTGTTCCACTGTAAGTAAATGGAACGGAGGTTGAAGAGACGTGGAAAATGAGCAAAGTTGATCTTGGAAAATTGGTTGTGCTCCAAGTGGAGCTCCTTTAATTTCAAAAGGCCAGCAAAAGCATTTCGGGATAGGCTTCTAAGACGATTGTACCCCAAATCCAGAAAGTCAAGATTCCGACAGTCTTGAAAAACTCTTATCGGCACAGTCTTGAGTGAGTTAGACCTCAAGTGCAAAATGATGAGTTTCCGAAGGCCTTTAAATTGTTCAGATTGCAACGTCTGAAGTTTATTGTAGGAGAGGTCCAGATTGCGGAGATTGGGAACTGGGTGAAATGTTTTATTGTGCAGATAGGTAATTTTGTTGGAGCTTAAAATTAATTCTTTGAGTCGACGGATCCCTTGAAATGCATCTTCATCCACTGAGCTAATGTAATTATGGTCGAGATAAAGCCATATAAGCTGGTTAAGGCCGGCAAACTGATTGGATTTGAGCTTCTGTATGCTGTTGAACCTTAATGATAAGCCTTGTGACCCTCCAGAAATGTTCTCAGGGATATCTGCGAAAGCATGAGACTCACAGTACACAATTTTGCCATCACATCTGCAGTTCTTCGGGCAAGCTCTCTGAGCCCCCGTGAGCACAACAAGCAGCAGTGTAGGAAGTAGCACCAGAACCACACTCATGCCTTTCAGCTGCGTAATTAAATGGAAACCTACAATATTAAAAAGAAGACAGATGCACATTGTGAAGCTATTAAAATACATCACCACCAGCTTACTCATATCAGGGGCATTTTGTCTAGTGCAGTAATGGGGCAGTTGATTTAGGAACACATTTAACTAAAGCATCATTTTCTTCAGTGTTGCATATTTGCTGTTTAGGTTTCATTCTTTCTTCCTTGATCTTCAAATCACCACAGAGCTGTAGAACTAAGAAAAGGCTTTCCGAGTTTCAGGAGTTCCTGTGTATGTATCTCAACAGAAAAGCATAGAGCCTTTCTTTTCACTAGAAGCTGAGATTTTAATAATAATAATAATAATAATAATAATAATAATAATACTTGGCTAGTTAACTTGTGTTGAACAACAGTATCAAAAGGAAATGTACTATTGCAAAAGTGTGACTTGATAAGCCCAGTACTTGCACATCTTTCCTAGTTGAGCACAGAGCCTGTGATTTAGCAAACGAGCTTCAGGAAGCTGTCAAGGTAATCCAAGTTTGTCCTGCCTGAATTCGTACACTTATTGCGTAATGGGATGGAAAGATAGGAGCTCTGAAAAATGGCATTGGGACTAGCATAGGCAGCCCATGAAGCATAGTGTGAAGACTGATAACAACATGAGATAGTCTGGATTTGTTAATAAGCATATATTATTGCATACTGTGACTCCAACCCCAGTGACACAAGAGCTAGGAGACAGAAACACCCTTATCAGACAACACTCCAAAGTTAAGATTGTTAAATTCTTACTAAATAGTTGCATAAAATGCAAAATAATCTTGTGTATATTAGTTTGCTGTTATTTTTCAGAGTTGCTTTTGCAAATTTCAGGGATAAACAAGGAAAGAGACGGCAGACTCCTCGCCCCCTCCCCACTATCCGGAACTGCTCACATTTCTCACTGACTTTTTTTTTCTCCCCTGCCTCCATTAACTTCAGAAAGCCTGCAAAGTTGCAATCTATTGGCACTTATGCTGCATTTCCAAGTCATTGCATGTTAAGGGACTTCTTTCCTCCGTCGACAGTAGATTTATTATTTCTTAACGGTGGAGGAAAAAAAAAAAAAAACTACCGTGTGCTGCAGTTTTTTTTCTCTCTCTTTAATATTCATATTTTAACCGAGAGGCATTCAGCCAAACCCTAATCTAAAAACCTTCCTTCTTCTCAAACAGTTAAGTTTCTTTTTCTTTTTTTTTTTTTAATTTAAAACTCGATCTTGCTCTGTCCTTTTGCCAGCTACAGACTCATTGAAATACATTCCAGCTCTCCCAGACAGTAGGAAGGAGGGGGGGATAAAGCCAGTCACACTTGAAAAAATAAGACTGGCAAATGACTGCTGGAAATTTGGAAGCTGTGTTCAGGATACAGCTTCAAAGATAAAACAAGCCCTTGTGCAACCTTTGATAAAGTCAGGACCCCACCCCTACACACACACACACACACACACACACACACACACACACACACAGTAAAGTGTTAACAATCTTCCTGACAGCAACCAGAAATACAAGCGTGGCTAATATTAACAAGGAACAGAGGCAAACACAATATTTATCTCCTGCTCAATTCCCAAGCTGTGGATACGCAGGCAGCAGAGACGGTCTTAAAGATATTTCTCTAGAGTCTGTTTAAGTCCGCGTTATGCATTTATGGATTAAACAAAAAAAAAAAAAACACTGCAAAAAGGAAAATGATCTAAAAATATAATACCAACTCTAGTGAGTCAACTGGGAAACTCAAGGCTGCCGCTTTTTGCCTGTTTCCACGTCTTTTATCAGCTAATGCCAGGACGGAGGCTAGGAAAGCAAGAGGATCAGCTTTGCTAAGAAGGAAACAACAAAAGTTCACTTACCCATCCTTTGTCATCCAAAAACGTTTCCCCCCTCTCTCAGCTTTCTTCTTATTTGGTCTCTCGTGCTGAAATCACCACCACCTTCATGACACAGTGCGGCTGTCATTCACACCATTCTGATCCCGCATGTGAGCTAGTAGCCCCATACAAACTTCCCCGGAGAAGACAGGCAAAAAAAATATGTATATACATATATATTTAAAAAAAATCAGCACGGGGTGGGATGAAGGGGCAGGGAGGAGGAAGCCGTTGGGGGGGGGTGGGTAAGGGGGGAGGGCCTCTAGGCTCTGAGGACCATTGTGTAATTCACCAGAGACCCATCAGCAGTAATTGGCAATCTGTGCAAAAGAGCTACAGCCCCATCTCGGAGGTAACCAACTTCTCTGTGAAAAGAGAGGAAAAAAATAAAATCTTCAGAATACCTGGCATTCCTTATTGTGCTGGCTTTTGCCATTCCCAGATAAAGCCATTCATCCTCTGGATTTTCAGTTCTTGAAGCAAGCAGGCCTCCTGTGCTGTATGAGACCCCAGTTTAAAAGCTATGCAGGCTAGGTTTATCCATTTAGCTGGTCAGGTTTAAAGTGTTTTGTAGCTGTGCTGAGAGGCAGCCCTTGTCTAATTCAGAAGGCTTTCCAGAGACTGATGATGCTCAGAGCTTGTTGGTGCTAATGCTTGAGTTTGTGATACACTGAGTGCCCTCCGCTGGAGAAAACAGATTGCACATTAAAGACAGGAACAAGTGAGCTTGTCAGTGGTGTGCAGCCTTCCCTTGCTCAGAAAGGGAAATTAAAGGCACAGGATCGTTCCCCCTCCCCTCTCCAATAATATAAATTATGAAAGATTTATGCCAAATGGTTCCTTCTGGTGACTGCAAATATTAAGTAAAATACTGCTCCTCTAAATATGACACAATACTTATTAATTACAAAGTTGTCTTGACCCCAATTTTTTTTTTCACGTCACAGGTGATTTATCATCATTTTTTTTTCAATGACAGATAAATTTGAGTTTTATTTAATATTGCCGTTGGTTTATAATTATTTACACTTTTAAACTAACCATATAAGGAAGCATTCTTACTGCAGGGTGGGGGGGAGACGCAATTTGATAGATTGTAAAGATAGTTACATTTAAAAAATTAAAGTCTAATCAAAAGTTCTCAGCTTTCAACAATATAACATACATTTTCCAATTTTGTGCATTTTATTGAGCAGTCTAGAATGGGACTTGGTAAAAGTTTATAGTTTTTACTTTCAAGGCAATTGTCATGTACACTATGTTACCATGAGTGAAGGTTAAGTAAGAGACTAAAACGTTGGACAAGAGTACAATTTCAGCTCGGAATCTTTAGTGCACTTTCCTTAAACCCATCCACATTGATAATGCACGTTTTTCTTATGCAAGTGTTTTACTGTAATGTGCAATACCAGTGAAACAAAAGCACTTCCATCCTGTATTATTATGGTATTTCTCTAAAAGTTCTAGAAATCCTCAGAATGAAGACTGAATAAATCGTAAACTATGAGATAGATAACTTAAAAAAATCTATGCTTTTCTTAAAATTCTAATAAATATTAAAACCCTAATAATATAATGCATCATCTGCATTTTGTTCCCCACTCTTACTACTTTATTACATAATTCTCTGGGGGATAACAACTTTTTCAAATGATCCAAGAGAATGAACCAATGGAATGCAGAAGAGAGACTATTAAGTATGATTGCTAACCTAATTCAGCAGACATGAGAACTTTAAATGAATTTTACATAAGCATCTAGAATTTCTGTGGATCATTGCAAATGAATATTTTTAGAAATAGCTTGTTTTAGATTATTTGCCAAAATATTAATAATTAAAAGAGGCTTATCATAGGAATAACACACATAATTTGACTGAGATTCATGAGTAGGCAGTCACAGGCAATTGTCTAATTACTAAGATTTCTCCAGGAACAGAAAGGGATAATATGTCCCTCAAATATATCCTTTTCCCATTAACTGATACCTGAATTTCTATTTTAGAAATGTGTGCCTTTGGCTTAAGGCTTAATACCTATTAAAATGCAAATGCACACCACAAGAGGCAATATTATTGTGGTTACTGAAAGGAAATAAATCAATATAAATGATACACATACAATTTGTTCAAAGTACTGCAGTTTACATAGAAACAAATTCCACCCAAATATTCAATAGTAGATGATTGATTAGTTAAGCAAAAAATAATATATTCATAAAAAGGAATGCATACTGCCATTAAAATTACAATATAGTTTTGAACTGGCCAACAGGAAAGTATGACCACCATGTCGAATGTAAGGAGACCAGGGACAGAGAACTCCAGTAACCACAAGATGAAGAGAGTCTAGCTATTTATGTCTATATTTTCATTTACATGGGGGCAAAATAAAATGCTGAGAGATGATTTTTCTAGAAAGCTTAATCAGGATATATTTGACTATGCCTGTTAAAAATACTTTGTCTTTTTTTTTCTAATTTCTAATTATAACAAATATTGTATGCACGATATTTTTTCTATCCATGTGTAAATTTTCATTTTTTCATGTTTCAATTTATTTAAAAAATAAATGACAGCAGATTGCATTACAATTCTTATTACACATAAACAACACAATTTTTCATATCTCTGGTTGTATATAAAGTATGTTGACACCAATTCGTGTCTTCATACATGTACTTTGGATAATGATGTCCATCACATTCAACCATCCTTGCTAATCCTCTGCCCCCTCCCTTTTCCTCCCACCCCTCTGCCCTATCTAGAATTCGTCTATTCCTCCCATGTTCTCCCTCTCTACCCCACTATGAGTCAGCCTCCTTATATCAGAGAATACATTTGGTTGTTTTTTGGGGATTGGCTAACTTCACTTAGCATTATCTTCTCCAAGGCCATCCATTTACCTGCAAATGCCATGATTTTGTTCTCTTTTATTTCTGAGTAAAGTTCCATTGTGTGTATATATATGTACCACATTTTTTTTACCCATTCATCCACTGAAGAGTATGTATGCTGGTTATTGAGATATGAGAATAGCTTTTAGAGTATATCACAAAATCTTGAAGATGACAACTTTCTTTATAGTGTAATAATGGGGTTAAAATGCAAGTTTTGTGTAAGATATCAAGAAAAAGACTGAATCACATTGTAGACAGTAGTAAAATAGTGATATTGCCAATGGAATGTGTCTTATGCTACCCTATTCTAGATTAGTTCTACTATGCAAATTGACCCTGCTAAAGTTATTCTTCGTTTTTTTTTCCCCTTTGATTCACATTTTGTCAGCCTTTAAGTGACTGGGACACTAACTGCAACCATCAGTTATTGCAGAAAATGGAACTAAAAAAAACATTTGTCCCAGGACCTCCTAATCCATAATCTTTAGTTTTTCAGAATTTGGAATATCTGATACTCTTCAAATAACATCAAAGTTCAGGCCCAGGATTTGCTAATCCTGTTATTTAATTAAAAGTAGACTAATGTTCAATGTGTGGGGAAATATGTGCTTGTTTAAAGAATTGTGGGGAAAAAAACAAAGAGGTACGGGGACTGGCTTAGAAGATAATGATCAATTATTATCACACTGGCAGAAAAGAAAGGAAAACATGCCCTGAGTGATGGAAGAAGGTTCCTGAATCTGAATGCCACCCTTGGCATGAAGTCTTCCCATTATCTCACTACCAGCCTTTCTTCTCTTTAAAAGCCACTTTGAGCAGTTGAGTTTTCTAAGATGACCTTTGTTTGGAAAGAAAGCATTAGGTAGATAGTCAGCCAGGAGCAGGTGCATAGGGAGAGGACAATGAAGGACAGTAATTTACAAGGAGGACATCAGACATATCCATCAAAAAAAGTCCATAAATCAGGACTTTAGATAGCAGAAAACTTGATCAAAAGAGACAAATATCTGGAAAAATGTGAATTGGAATGTCAAACCTCCCCCAGTAGAGTTCATTATAACCCCTTAAGGAAACTATCATTTCAAGACCATGTCACAATTACCAGAGGCACCTCTTGTGAGGTCATGAGAACCCTCACAATGAAAATTTGCTAAGGGATATACAAAGAGCAATAAAACACTTAAAGGGATATGAGAAACTAGGGCAAGAACAGAGGGACCCCAATTCCTTTATAAACCCAGACTCTGTGTAAGAACTACATCATTGTCTCAGAGACATCTATTCAGTGCATGCACAATGTGCTTATCTCACTTTCTCTCTACTAAATTCCTGCTTGTTACTCTGTGCTATCCATTTGAAAGCCTTGCTGCGGGATCACAGGAACCAGTTGCTGAGATCATTTCAGCTCTGTGGATTTTCTTTATAAAGATAGCACCCTGCCACCTTCCTCCCAACCCTCCTTTCCATCTATTGGCTTTTGAATGACAAAGAGAGGGTTTTGAGTCTGATAATAATAGATAATATGCATAACTTTATACAGAATGTAGACCTAAATCAGTTTCAGATGTCTTGAGCACACTGTTAATGGTGGTGTTACACGTCTATCAGAGAATATGTTAAAAACAAAACAAAACAAAAATAAACAAATCTCACATCTCACTCTGGGCTCAGAGATCTCATAAATTCTTTTTACAATAGTTTCAGTCAGCCCAGAAGTTTCATGGGAAGGTCAGAAATAGTAGTTAGTATGTGTGGAGGTGATAAGCAAGAATGAGAGAAGCCAGCTATACTTTTTCCTTTTTCCTTGGTAGCACAGTCCCACCTGCAACTGGTTCTACTGAGGACTAGGGGTAAAACAATTAGGATTTATATAAAGTATAAAGTTGACTAATATAGTGGACCTAAAACTTGCATTTACTGATTTGACAATTTATAAACTAAGGAAATAATATAGTTTTTGTTACCTCAAAGAGAATTCAGTGACCTGACTTTGGTAACTTGAAATTGACCATAATGAGAGTATTTGTAATACTGAAATCAGCAAATATGTAATTTATTATATTGTTATGTTTTCAGACTTGAGAAGACAATCAGGAAGATATTAATAACAGACTCAACTAAAAAGTGTACTGTGTCTGTAGCTATTTAATTGCAAATATAAAAAAATGGAGAAATAGTTTTTCAATATTTGAAAGCTCTCTGCTGGTTGAACAAACAAGTCATTCATGTCATCAACAAACAAATGAAGTTTCAACCTGTGTCTACATCATGTTACTTTTGTCTTATTAACATAAAAATATCAGACAATACTCTTGTTGTAGTTATACTTAGAGACCCAATGGGTAAACATTTACTAGCACACTACTGAATATAAGGTTTATATATGTATTACTCCAAATTTTAAGTAGTTTTAACAAATACATGCAGATGATGCACTGGTTTGAAGAATCTACCTCTATTCTCAGACTAAATGTAGTATTTAGTGAAAAACAAATCCACCAAAATACTTATTACATGTGTTCAATATGTGACTCTTTTTCAACTCTGCCATTTCATGCTTACATTTTACTTTTTATTAAACACCTGAAATATCAAGACCATTCAAATAAATCTGTATTTCTAAAATTTTAGTAATACTTTGGTAGTATCATGGAAGATTTCTGTTTTAAACTTCAACATATTACACCTAACACTGCCAAATTACAGATCCTCCATAAAATGTTTTAAAATGAATGAGTCAATTAGTTAATCAAGTAAGTTGGCAACCATCATTCAATCAATTGATCAAGTAAACAATCATTATTATTG